CGCCGGCTCTCCTCGTCGTCTCTGGAATCGAAGTTTGTTCTGTACACAGAAACACGCGCGAACGCGCGTCACTCGCTCGCACGCCCGTGTACACGCCCGTGCGCGGGAAACACGGAAGAAGCTTGACGGATCACAATTCACGCGACACCGCGTTCTCGTGGGCGTCGCCGGGGGGTTGCAGTCGGCTCTTCGTTGCGCCGGCTGCGCGCACCCTTTGACTCGCTCGCCCGAGTCCAAGTTCGCGTAAAAGATTTACGGGAAGAGGGGAGGGGGGAGACTCGTACAGCTACCCTCAGGAATGCGAGCCGCCTCGTAAAATCATTAGGTGCGCGCACCCCCGGGAGGACCTCCTGACGAGGCGCCGAGCTGTTTCGCCGAGGAGGTTGAACGCGAGACCACGAGCGTGTCTGGGGTTGATTTCACGCGGACAGTTGGCGCCGTTGACCGGCGAGGGTGTCAATCGACGGTTAACCGGGGGAACCGGTTGCGGTTCTACGTTCTGCAGTGGGGATCAGCGGGAAAAATCGCCGACCTCGCCCTGTAAGAAGAAACCACCGTGGTCGGCGCCCATGACTGTGTTCTTTCGGGATTCGAGAGAGAGAGGGGGGGGGGGGGACGAGGGGCACGAGAGGAGCGGACACTCTTCGGCAAACATTTTTACGCTATTACGGGAATCCGAGACTGGGATATTAAGCAAACGCTTGCAGCTGCGGGAAATCACGGTCGCGCGCGGGACGGAGGGCCGCCGCGGACACCGAGGAATCGGGATTTGTCTCGATATTTCGTATCGCGGCACTCGCGTCCCCGTAATTAACGACGAGCTGAAGAGAAACGAGTGAAAACCTAATTTGTGGGGGATGTAAGGTTGATTTCGCAGTAGGAAAACAAGGAGCGTGATTAACCTCGACGCTTGCAAGCCCCGCTTTCAGGGATTAAGAAATGTCGTGCACTGAGAGGAAAGCGGCGGAATCAACGGAATTTTGCTGAAAAGTATGTTTCTTCAAGCACAACGTTTATAGCCCACCGAACAAATTACAGAGTGGCTGTAATGAGTTATTCATTATATATTAATTGATCCGACGATTGCGATCTGGTCAGCTGCTATGTTATTTGTTTGCAATGTCGGCCACAAGTAGGAACATTGCGTAAGAACTTACGTAAAAGTAAACGGTAAAATACTCCACGGCCCAGAGATGTAGCAGGTCTTCAAACAAAGCCGTTCACTCACCTCGGGCAGTTTTGGGTTCACCGACCGTAGTTTTGAGGCTAACTGATCAGCGGAGGAATACACTCGGTGGATTCGTTGATCGTAGCCGCTGGGATCCTAGAAGGGAAGTGGAGGAAATTACACATGTACGTCTGGGAGACGTATGGTTGCAGCGTCAGGGTTAATCAGTGCTTCGCAGGGGTGGATATATTTTTCTCTAAAGAAAATATCGTACAACTTCAGTAAGAGACCTTCCTGCATGCTTTTGTGACACGTTGAAAACAAATATACCGACCTTTCGTGCAGTTCAATTGAACATCAACCATCACACACACACACACACACACACATACAACACCCGTGACTCGTCGGATCAAGCAATATCGATGTTTTTCCCGCGATTGCATTTTACCTCCGCGCGACCGTGAACGTCATCTCGCGTTACAAAACACATTTGCGCAGCGCCGGCAAATTAATTGGGATTTGTTTAGGAATATCCGGCCCGTTTCCGGCGGACGGGAGTTCGAGAGCAATTTCGAGAGACGCGAACGCGTTTAGTCCCGGTGCTCGCGGTTGATTTATCGCGGGGGAAGAGGCCGGCGCGAATGAAAGAAAAGGGTGGCTTTTCGACGGGAGAACGAGGCACTTCTGTCAATTACTACCCGTCGCGTAGGTAGAACGGTGAAAACACGCTTTATTCCTGGCAGCCCGAATACGACGGATAGATGTCACGTCATCGCCACCCTCGAAGCGATTACGGGGCAAACGGCGTCCCGTCGACGTGGAAACCACCCTCGACAGCGCGTTCTCGATTCAACCGCATCGTCATTAAGTTACCGTCAATTAGGACCGATGCCAGGCGAACGCATTCAGTATGAAAAAGCTCCTCGCGTGCCAGCTGAAGAAAATCGGAAATGCTATTCGTCATTCGTTCTCCCCACCGAAAGAAGGAGAGACAGAAAGACAGAAAGAGAGAGAGAGAGAGGGGAGGAAAGGCGGTTTTATTTGCTTCCGACTCTACTTGATTTCGCACGCGAAACTTTCGCCGAATAGAATCCTCATGAAACGAGTCCCGCTCTGTTTCGATACAAACGCCACGGAGATTCCACGTGAAAGGACGTCACGTTGATTTACGGTAATGAGATCTTTTCTTCTTCCCACTTGCCGCCAGGCGAAAATGTTAAGTGAATATCTCACCCGATCGAAGACATGCGATGAAACAGCGTTCGTTTAAACTGACATCTTCATTCGTTAGAAACACCCTTAAATCTTTTCCCTTTTCCTTTCTCTTCATTTTTCTCAAAAAACATCGAGAGAATCTGTATCCGCGATGCGTCCCGAAGTAGGAATAAATCGCGGAGCAGCCGGTAATATGCCGGTATTTCGCCAATAACAGCGACTTTTCACCGGGGTATGAAATGACCCCGCGTTTACGTAAAAGGAAGAAAGGGAATAAAGCGGCTGCTTCCGGGACAACTGCGAAGCGCTCGAACACTCGTGATCCGCCCCTTCCGTCGCGGGCGAGTACCCGCTCGCGTGATACTCGGCGTGTGCTCGAAATCAAAATAAATCGTCCGCCGTAAACTGAGCCACTTTCTGTAATTAAAGGGTAAGGCTCGAGCGGCCGACACGCGGAATGATCTAAGGGCTGTTCGAGAGGTCTGATATCGGGGGGGGGGGNGGGGGGGGGGGAGGGGGTATCTTACACGCCTCGCAGTCCTCAGGGAGTGCCACGTGACACGCGTGCACGGTCCATGTCCATTCGTCTCGTCTCGCGCGGGGTGCCTTACGTGGGGAGAAAATAATAAATATCGAGGTACGCGCGATCTTTTTCTCCCTTTCTCTCTCTCTCTCTCTCTCGCTCGCTCGCTCACGATTCGCAATGGGGGTACGATAGGCAGGTGTCACGCCACCGCGGGACCCCCCGGTGCGACGATTACGACGATTACCGGAGAGCCGACGTTGGCCGCGGAGAGGGTGGAGCCGCCTTTCCGTTGACACCGCATCACGAAGCACTAACCAGGTTATTTATGCCACCTCGTAAAACTTGTGGCGTGCCTGAACACACTACTCGCCGGTAGCATTCTGTCGTCCGCGCCCTTCGCCCTTCGCCTACGTTCGGCGCGGCCAATCTCGAATGACAGAGCGCGGGGGTGGTGGCGGTGGCCTCGCTACTGCGTCGTGCCCTTCCAGGATCGCGCGGCCTACCCCAGGAGGTGAGGTCTCGCTCGTGTCAATGGCGCGCGACGCCGGCTTAAAAGTTACGAGATAGGCGGCCGGTAAATACGAAATAGACCGCGGGATTTCGCGTGAAATATCACGTACCCTCTCTCGATAGTGACGGTTTGTGTGTGTGTGTGTGTGCGTGTGTTTGTGTGCGCTCGTATATTTATAACGTTAATATGTGCAATCGTATGCCGCGCGAAGGGAACCGTGAGTCCCGCGTTTCCATGAGTTACGGCCGTCGCGCGATTTTTATTACGTGTCGGCGTATCGTCCGCCGGGGAACGATAACTGGAATACTTTTCCGAACGGAGTTAGCGAGAAGGAAAGGAAAAGAGAGAGGGAGAAAGAAGTTTACGTTGAAGTATGAGCGTAGATAACGTTTCTTAAAGATTTCTTCTTTCTGCAAACGAGCGTGTCCCCAATATGAAACAATCCAATTCGCGATCGTGGTGTACACGTGAGGTATGCTTGTGCGAGATATATTCGCACAATTAATTCTTATCAGTGTAAAGACTCGCTCCGCACAATAGAAGAGGCCTGAGGTCGACTTTAAAGCGGATATTTCTCAACCGGGAACAACGGGAACAAACGCTGCTTCTGATTCCCGTCGTTCTCCGAGCGTGCTGTGTTAATGGAATACCCCGATATCGGTTTACAATGTAACGAAAATGTCCGTGCGCGCGTACAAAAAATCGGTATCACTTCAAGACTCGTTTTTCATATAAGCAAGGATATACAGAGCGTTCCAAAATTCCCGTATGCGAAGTGTACATGGAGATTCTTCATACTAGAAGTCACTTTTTCCTCAGCGGAAATACCGAGAAAGGTCATTATTTCCAGTGACTTTTCAATTTTCAAAGTGACATATTTTTTAAGGAAAGCCTCGGAAAAATTCTGAACGAAATTCTGTTAAAAAAAGAAACATTTACTTGAAATCGACCGAAGAATATAATTTTGCTGCCCATTTGTTCGCTCGAAGCTTGCGGAAAATCTCAATCGTTTGTTTCTCCGACACCATTGTTCGAACGCAATTTTGATAGAGAACAAAATTATTTCCTTTGATATCAAGAATCTCCTTGTACATTCCGCATATAGGAATTTCGAGGCACCATGTATAATTCAAGAAATTCTAGTTCCGGCGAAAGTATCATATTCTAGTTATTCAAGAATAATTTTCACGAATTGAGAAGGGGGGGAAAATAAGGGATAGAAAGAACGATATCTTCAGGCTGATACAATTCTCAATTTGAAGACAAAAACTTCCTTCCTTTTATCCAATATTTCCCCCCTCTATTTACAAAAAAATATTCCCGAATAATTAGAATATGATATTTCTCATGGAACTGTACAGACTTTCTTCATATAATCAAGTTTTTATCTTCATGCAAGATTATATTCTTGCTTATAGACGGGAATATGAGTCTTGAATTGATTAATTAACCCTTATAATTTTCATAATAATAATAATAATCTGGCGACTAATTTGTTTTTCACGCACGCGTCCCCCTCGTCTCACAGTCCATCAAACGTCCAAGTTTTGCGAAGCGCCACTCTTTTCCTCTTTCAGTTATCGTACTCCATGGAGCTGGATTATGACGTGGTGGGCGTACCAGGTGGACCGTCCTCCGGGATGATGGCGTTGCTGCCGCCGAGGGTGAACGTGTCCGCCCGGGGTGAAGTCCCAGTCACCCTGCAAGTATTCAGGATCAGATTGCCGTGCTCGGGCGTCGTTAGCGCCGAAATTCCTCTGGCCCTGAGATTGAATGTCACCGCGCCGCTCGGCACTAAGTACAACGACACCGTCTTGGTTTTCAAGAGGAACAAAATCTGCCTGAAAGGTGCGTGCGGATATCCAACCGGAAGCGGCTCGTCGCGCACGCGCGTCACGATCGTGCGTGCGTTAGAGTCCGCGCGCTATGCTAATTTCGAAAAACGTCGAAAAGGGGTAAATCTCGCTTTATTATTCGCGCACGTGAAAAAGCCGTACCGCCGCCCCCGCTACTTTATTATTCCCGCGCATGAGATTCAGCTCGGTCTAAAAATCCGCGATTTTCATGGCGGTGGCGTATTAACCGAGAAACTAGATCCGGACTAGATATCTCTTTCTGCCTTCTTCCGTTCTCCCTCTCCTCCCCCCCTTTCTCTCTCTCTCTCTCTTTCTCTCTATTTCTTTTCCTTCCTTTTCTCTTCTTTTTTCCGTTATAGAACGCGCGGGACGCCTTTTCTTCTCCCGCTTGTTTTATTCAACGTCCCTGAAAATATCATGACCGCGCGCCCGCCGTTTGTCTCACTTAAAATATGAAAACGTTAATGCGTAAATTATTTAACTCTTCCGCTTAGCGGGTGCTTCACGGGCGCGATGAAAATTGCAATTTCTCCCCGATCTCGGTTAAATTCTAAACAATGCTTACACCCCGTCCTCTCTTACATTCAGATTTATTATACAGTTATAATTATAATAGATACACTTGGTATGATAGATTAAATGTAATAGACTTGATTGTGTATAATGTGATTTACGCGATTGCACGTAAACTAGTTACGTTCTTAAGGTGGTTGGTTCGTCAAGCCATTCTCTTAGGTATCCTCTGAAATTTTACTATTTTGAATTTCTTCTAAATCACAATTAGGATTTTAATGAGGGACTACTGTGATATTAAGGACTAATGTAGAGACATAAGACAACATTTCAAAATTATCGGCTATTTTTTCTCGAAAGTATAAAAAATAGAAAATTTACAATCTATAGTAATACACGTGTTGAAATATTTACATGCCACTTTTTCTTATATGTGCATCTCGATTAGATGAACTCGCATATAAATAAAACGTTAATAAAAAGAAATAAAAGATGTATGTCTTCATGTTTGTAGCATTGCATGCATATTTGCCTGAATTTCGCTCAAAATTAACGTTCATTTAGATACTCAAGATACTTAACCTTTTCGCCGCTGCGCGCTTCAACCAAAAATGCTCGCTGCGTGCGGCACAGTATTCAATTGTGTAACACTGAGGCGGAATAATGTAATAAAGAAAATCCGAGCTGAAAGATTCAAACGAGCTGCGGCATTCATTTGCAGCGTACGCAAATGGCGGGCGATTTTCCACGTGTATACATGGTATATACAATTGAGAAGCTACCTTTCAGCGACGATTATATCCATCATACGTAGCAAAGGGGTTAAATGAAATTATAGGAAAATATTTTTTTCAATAAATAACAAACTCACGTAGGGGGCCCTTTAATATTCTCACTGGAGGTCCAGCGCTCTGCGAACCAACTACCTTAATAATCCGTAAAAGCACACCGCTGTCCGAGAGTTCGCGACATTTTTGCAGTCCCCGGTTACCTGTTACTCACCTTTGAACACCGTGCTGGATCGCAATAAGACCTTGTATCCTCGCACAGTCGGAGGATATTACGGAAACACGTATACTGCAACGGCTTGTGAATATTAAATTACGATATTCCTTTACATTATAACAATCGGAAAATTCAGTCCCGGACGAGAAGGAGGCGATAACTCCCTCATCGGGAGCGGGGGCAGTCTCGGCTTTGAAATGCAATTTCGCCCGTGTCACCGTGACTTTTCTACGCGGAGATACCGGCGGGTCCTTTGACGGGGGCCTGCCTACAATGTTGCACGCCGCTCCTTTGAGTTAAACGCCGGGAGGTGCGAGAAGTTCAAGAAGTGTGAACGTACTACAATGTACTACGGCGTGCGCCGCCGGCAAAGGAACGCGCGTGTCGTCGATCGGCGACGACGAGAGACCGCACACGCCACGCTTTTCCGGATCCGGGCTCGTTTCACACGGCCGTTCGTCTCGGCGAAAAATCGACCCACGAACGTGAAACGAGCGCAACGTTCTTCTCGATTTTTCACACCGCACGCTTTCCTGCTCGTCGTGCGTGCACGGTCAGCGTCACGTATACTCTGTATTTCCTACCATTTCCTACAGAAAAAGAAGTACGAAATTTAAGCAAATAATCACTTCGATACTCCTTGGCAAATTTTCAATATAATATTACTTATTATATGAATTATTTACTCGAATCTGGCGGTTTGTTCTTCTATGTAGACGGAAAGTTAGGGTATCCGTCCTATGACACAGATCTTTCGTGCAACCGATCAAAGGCATTACGAATTTTTTTCTTACGGCAAATTCTTCCCACACGTCTCGAGGAACGCAAAAGGATCGGTGGCGCTACGGTAATCAATAAAATATCTTTATATTCTTTTCAGAATGTTTCGACAAAGAAATGTCAAGCGTCACGATTCATTGGGGTTACGTGAATTTCTAATATTCTCTATAGGATACGCGGAAATGAGTTTCGCGTAACAGGAAAACGCGTAATGCCCTCTAATTCGTTACGCAATGCGCGTCACACGAAAAATCTCTGCCGTAGTACCCGTACACGATTTTCAGCCTTACACGCATAAGGCATAAGGTTGAAAGTCGCGGAAGTAACTCTAGTTATTAACGGCAAGATTATAACAAACGCAGTTTTCACGTAATGTTACTTTCGATCGCGATACCCTTCTGCAGTGGATTATACGAGAATGTATCATGAGGATCACATCCAAAGGCTTAATGCCATTCGAGCTTTGTAACACACATGCCTCCTCGCACGCTCATATCCTGCGGTGGCGGGCGGCGTTAAAGCACGTTTGTTACCTCCGCCCTTCATTTTCGCGCTATCGCTAGTCTGTTGATAATTATTTCGTTTACGTAATCTCGGATTTAATTAGCACGTACGCGAACGCGCCGCTGAATACCTTCGTTACGGCGAGACAGTTTCGACGGTGATCGCGATTAAAACAGAGGCGCGCGTTCACTTAGCGTCACGCGCAAAACTCAATTTGATTTGATTGCGGACCCGCGGAGCGCGCTTCCGATAACTTCGCCGTCGTGATATCAAGTGTCTTTTCATTAATTTTCTTTTTGTTTTCGCGTTCCCCCTCCCCCCCCGAAAAAGAATCGCAACGATCGGAACTGTTAGCGGAGCGCGTTATCGAGAGGCGGCTCGCGAACGTTCCGCCGCGATTTAACGCGCAGTTCGAAACGTTCAAAGCGTTTACTTTGTACGAATGCGTTCTGCGGTGTATAATAAATTGGTATATATAATTCCGCGGTATGAATTTATTTTACGGCGCGTTTTGGCGGCACCGGCGGCTCGAAACAACGGTCGGTCGCCTTCGGTCGCCTTTCGCTAAATAAATACCGCTGAATTATAAATATAATACAGACGTAGTGCGCGCGCGCGCGCGCGCGTTTAAGTAATAATATTTAGATAATGAAATTATATATACAGGCGTAGTTTACGTAACGAGTGGAAATGTTATAACGGGCGAGCGAGGGAGCGAGCGGAGCTGGCGGGCGAGAGAAAGAGAAGTTACAAACGTAATTTCCGCGCCACTTCCGACAAGGGTGCTCGTAAGCGTATACGAAAGGCACTTCACACAGCCGGTTCACTCGACTCCGCAAACCTTCGCGACCTCGAAAACGCGTGTTTTCTGAAAAAACACAGAGCGGCGATGAATGCAATCTGGCAAATAGCTCCGATTTTCGTCATCCTCTCGCGCGCGCGCCATAACGGCACGCCGATCCTTCACGCAGATTTTCCATACGACTACTATTACGACGAACTTTGCGCAAGCTCGCCCGCGGTAAATAAACGCCGCACGCGAAATAAACGGGAGCCCGCAGAGCGCGCTGGAGTATTGTATCTCCTTTTAAAGTTGAGAAGAGAAGATTTACTCTCCGCTTTAGGCGGAAGATAGTTTTGTACCTCATTTATAAAAGAAGATGAGAGAGAGAGAGAGAGAGAGAGGAGTCACGTTCCGAGAGAAAAGAACGAGATGGACAAAGCGCGTTGTAAAATTGAATTCAGTTCTTCCTGCGCTTCTGACCGACAATTTGTCGCGACTTGGCGGTCGTTTCTCAAAATAGCATTGCTTCAACTTACATAAATGAGAATACATTTCGCGTGCTGAATATATATATATATATATGTGTATATATACATTCGCCGATTTGCTGAATTCCCTCTTAAATCGTGGAAACATTCGGTCCTGTAACTTTGACTCTAGAATTTTGGCGAATATTCTCCTTTTCGAGTCGTTGTACGCGCCAGGACACGTAACTGGATATTGTTCGTGTTTGAAAGTATATGCGTTTGCGCGATATGCGAGAGAAACGATCCACCGGCAAAGGACAGCAGCGATAGAGGGCGAGAGCGAGAGGCGAAGAACGAAAAGACGAGGAAGAAGAGAGAAGGAGAAAGGAGGGGAGAGAGAGAGAGAGAGAGAGAGAAGCGCGGATCCGGTTACCGAAGCAGGCGACGGTACAACAAAAAGCAATCCGCCGAGTAAAATTGAATCTCGCCAGGGGTCGGTGTATTTAATGAAAGAGAAGAGAAAGCGGCGAGGATCCCTCCTCCGTCGAAGATCAAGAGGGTCGGCCGCGTAGAAAAATGGAGACGGTGGACGAAGGGATGGACGAAAAGGGGGAGAGGGAGGGCCGGAAGAAGGAAACGAAAATAAGTAAGCGGCCTCCGCGGCCGTAGTCGCGTACTCCTGGAGAGCAGATTTCCCGCTTTGTCGAATTTGCTTCTTCCCCGTCCGCTGCCGCCGTCGGCCAAAGGATCGCGCCGGCCTGACGAGTCTCCTCCGAGATCCTTACTCGAGAGGGTCCTGCAGCGATCTGAAAACGCCTCGAGATCACTCGAAAATAATCGAATTTCCCGCGTGGGGTACGAACAACGCCCTCAAACCCGACGTCGACGAGGTGGTGACCGCATGTGTGCGCGCGTCCGTGTGTATGTGTGTTATGCATA